CTCTCTCGTGTGTGCGTGTGGGGGGGGGGGGGCGCGTCTGTCGCCGTGGCAGTGCCGCGGTCCTCAGCGTCACGACGGTGCGCGTGCTGTGCATTTTTCTTTGATGCTTCCTTGTGCCAGTTCTGGCTGGGCAACACGCCCCTGCCCGCACCCCGCTGCCGCACCGAACCCCTCCCTGCCCCCACCCCCGCTTTACCTCCCACAGGCACGCAGTAAGGATGGCACGGCACGTAAAACGGATGGCCTTAGTTGTTGGCCTCTGCTTCCCCATGTTGCTGTTTGCGGTGTTTGGCCTCCAACTCCTTGAGGTGAAAGTCGTGCTGGACTTGAAGGGTGCACCGCACACCAACCTTTTCAAGCCGCCGTCTTGTGACGAGGTCGCCCGCGCTGCTGATGCCGAGACGCTGCAATATGTTCCTCGCGGTGTCGTGGACGCATGGAAGAGGCAGAACTTTCTCATTGTGTTTGGAATCCCGTCGGAGGACACCGAGGCGAGGCGGCGGCGACGAAACCTGCAGCGGTCGACGTGCTGGCGCTTCCCCGGTGTGGCGACGCGGGCGAATGAGTTCACCGGTGCGATGCTTGTGCTGTACGTCCTTGGGCGCCACCCGGCACACGACAACAACTACTCTGCCGCGCTGCTGGAGGAGGCGGCGCGGTGGAACGACGTGGTGACGTTGCCACTGAAGGAGGGCCGGGTGACGTCGAACAAGACCATTGGCGGCCGTGGCAACTGGGGTTTGGAGGCTGAGATTGGCATGAGCCGCAAGACGTACTTTTGGTATGATTTCGCTTTGCGTCAGTTTCCCACCGTCCCGTACCTTGCGAAGGGAGACGACGACATTTTTATTCGCGTGCCGCAGTTCCTTGCCGACCTGCGCACGCTGCCACTCCGCGGTATTTACTGGGGCAGTTTTTACCATACGCAGCGTCCTATTCCCTTGAGTTTTATTATTGGGTTCGCAAGTACTCTGTCGAGGGATGTTGCGCAGCAGTTTGTCTCCTACAAGCCGCTGCAGCGGCTGGTGCGTCTGCCGTACAGCAGCGAGAGGGAGCCGGAGTTCAGTAGCTTGTACATGGACCACGAGGACATGATGGTGGGGATTGTCCTTCAGAAGGCGGAATATGGAAGCCTGACCTTTGTGAAGGAAAGTAAGTGTAGGTTTCATTACGTGCGTAACGGTCCACGCCTCGCCCCCGTGAGGCAAAGTTCCGTTGTTGTGCACCACATCA